CTAAGACTTTCAACAGTGCATAGTGCATGATATAATCACATATTGTACCCGAGCCCCAAGGAATTTTAAAGAGAGTCAGATGGATTTCAAATAGAAAAGCCACATGGGAGCTATAGTTCAGCATAACTATAAAACCATTTAATCATGAAACATTTTATACATTCAATCATGTATCATTGCCAATAACCATGGGTATACAAATATACAACAAAACACACCTTTAAAATATTTTATTACCTACTTATTATACAACTTGATTAGTTGTCCCTACCTAATAGCAGGTTACATACTTATAAGTTACACGTTGCACTCAAATAATACTGTGCAAACTACAAAGAACAGGGTCCTTTAGTAATTTATTTAAGTTATAGTAACTTAGTTACATTAAAAGTTACAATAGTCGCTTAATTATTTATGTTTATTTCTTTGAACAAATTATGAAATTATGATGACACTGCTAAATAATATCAGTTATAGGTAATACTCAGTATCTTTTCCAATGGGGAAGTGAATCTAGGTGGTGCATTTAGAAGGCAAAATTGTATAATATTAATTTTAAATAAAAATACTTTTGGTTGTTATCGTTGGGAAAAACAAACAAACAATTAAGGAAAAGGGCAAGTTTTATCCATAATTGGTTTTCGATGAAATGGATTTTGGTTTTTGGTATAAGTCATTACTCATTACAAAATTACCGTAGATACATGGAACTTAAAAATATTGTGACTCTTTTTGAGCTATTTGTGGGCATAAAACGATTTCGAGTTTTATAAGTTTTTATAAATTATTGTCCATACAAAAAATTATGGACATAGATTATAGGTATTATCACTAGGTCTAGTAGATCTATGATTGTAAAGTACATACATAATAATTGAATCATATAAATTGAGTATGGTTAAAAAAAAAATTAAAAAGTAATTTAATTTGTAATGCACTACTTTATTAATGAAAAAGTATTGTAATGTGATAAAAATAATTTTAGGTAACGGAAATGTAATTTAGCCAATACTGAGGTCTGAGACTATATTATAATACCTTAATAAGCTCGCATAGTTGCACGTCTCAATGTCTTATCAGTTTATCAGCTTACTTAGTAAATACTAAATAAAGACTATACCATATTAAGTATTTATGTAGTACAGACCTGTTGGACGTTTTGTAGAAGGAAGTTTTTCAATATTGATTATCTACTGATCATTTTTTACTTTAATAGATATCTTACATAAATTTTTTAATACCTACCTATATAAATATAACATGATATAATTTACTGTACATGTCTCTATGATTATAATTGTTTGAATTATAACAATAGAACAAAACTCGTTTGAGAAGAAATTGTTCATACACGTAGGAACTAGGCATGTACATAATATTAATAATACATAATATACTTGGTAATATGTTTGATTAACAATTTTGTCAACATCTGAAGTTTAATCGATCATAAAAATTGTACATAAGTGGCTGCTATAATAGGTACTTTTCTTGATTTTCTATAAAATTTTCAAGTTTTAGATGTTAACCCAAAACTAATTAGGTACAACTAATACGTACAACTATTTTACTTACATATTTTTCTGATGCGGATGTAATAATAAAAATTTAATTTTTAAACAGTAATAATTAATAAAACTGACTATATTATTGATATAATTTTAGTTGAAGTTACAACAACTAACCTTGTATAAGATTTTTTTTCGTACACAATAAACAAAAATTAATTAATTTAAAGTTTCAAATGATTATTTATAGCACAAAAAAAATTATTTAAAAAATATATTATGTCTAGAAAATAAGCACTAATATAAATAGTAGGCAAAAAAGTCTCAACAGTTTTTTATTTTTTATTTATTGTATATAACTATGGCATGGGTGTAACTTTTTTTATAGATTCACACAGCACTCGTAGTTTTACTTGAATAGACTTCAATATACTATTCTAATATTATAATTTGAAAAATTAGAAAGTGTTATTAATATTTTGGATAAATCCGTTGTACAAGTACAGACAACATTTTTAATAATAATTGTGAACAGTCATAATTGTTCATAACATTAATGCAGCTGCAAAATATCAACGCATTATTATATTAACTACTGTAATAAAATACTTTAATAATGGATGAGGCATGTCTTTTTTTCTTTATTTCAGTTAAATTAAAATTTCTACAGCCCAAAATAAATGTTGTCAAACTAATTAGGGGCCATTATGCAATGAACAAGGTGTATACCTGGTAGTAATTATATACAGTAAAACCTATCTTGTGCGGAATTGCACGGGACCAATAAAAATTTCGGTTTTAGGCAGATTTTCATACAACTGAATAAAAAGGAAAATTCCCGTAATATAGAGTTATAATATTCTGCACGATTAAGGTTGAAACTTTTTCTGGCCATTAATAAAAAATATCATAGACCTAAACAAATCTTTAAAAACATTATGAGAGCAAATGCGATACGAAACGACAGGTAAACTGCAACTACGGTGACAATAATAAGCACTGATGTGTCGACTCAAGATAAAATGTACTTATATGTCGATACATATTTAACGCTGACCTTAATAATTGTATAGTAGCAAAAGAAATGTGTGTATCAAAAATATTTTTGTTCATTTTATGATATGTTTTTCCATGTATATGAGGTGTATATGATATGGGGGACCAATAAATAGCTTTCCGTTTTATCAAGGGTTTAATCCTATGTTAAATTATAGAAATCTGCCGGGACCATAATACATTTCCGGACAGAAAAGGATTCCGCCTTATCAAGGGTTTGGACAAGACAGGTTTCATTGATTGTCATTTTTATATGTATTAAGAGAATATTATCATGTATGTTTTAGTTGTAACACTTTTTTTTAAAATTTTACTTTGTGAATGCATTAAAAATACACAAACTGCACACTTACAAATGTATAAATAAACAAAGAATCACTTCATATATATTTCTATTTCCATCATTAAAAGGTATACATACACATAAATAGTATGCATCTTTACATACTTATTTCAATATGATATTGTGTAATGTAATATCATTTTAAATTATACATTATTATAAAATGACTAAGACGATTAGGTACTATTATGAAGTTACAAAAATTGATTTAAGATTTAAATCATATGACTATCTCATATCATAACTTTGTATGTAAAAATATAAGTATGTCTTTGTAAGTCACATGATACAATTGGTATACATTTAAAACAGGACAAATTTTCAACTGATGATTTATGAATTTTATTCAATACACTAATCCATTCATTTTGGACCAAGGTTATTTTTAAATATATTCTTGGCAAAACCATATAATAATAAAAACAATGACATTTTAAATGTTTCTAAATTTATATCATTTTATAAAAGACAGGACTTTATGTACTTATTTGCATTTCACTAGAAAATGAAAAACACATTTTAGTTTAATTTGTTTTGTTCTAACTCAAAATATATATTTAAATTTGTTTAGTGTATCTACAAATTCATTTGAACGATATATATTTGTTCACAAGCAGAATGGTCACTGAAAGCCTAGCATTAACTACTGTAATCATTGATCATTTGTCTGTATAAATATACAATCCTTTGATGACCTTAGTTAAAAAAAAAATATTTTTATCCAGATCACAATGAAATAAAATAGCATTAGTTAAATTAAATTGGTATTTAGTATACTTAATCAAGTATCGTAGATCAGAAATTGTATTCCTTATATTTTATTATACAGAATAAAATGTAAGTAATTAATTTTACTGTTTAGAAATAAAAACAAAAATAATAAAAATAAAAACCAATATATTTTTATAAAAACCCTTTAAGGTAATATAATTAGTATGCATAAAAATTTAAATAAAGTTTTTAAAATATGGATTAATAATTTTGTATTGCACATAGAATATATGCAATGAATATAATTAGTAAGATACAACTAATTCACTTGACATTGATAACTGTTGACTGTTGACTGTGAATTACAAGCAACATAATTATATGTTTTGTACTATAAAATACATCTCTTTTTTTAATGTTTAATATACAATTGAACAAATTAATGTAGGCATTTCTTAAATAATGAAATTATGTAACATATTTTGTTAGATACAATTTTAACCTTGAATTTTACTAAATGTGTATTCAAATTATTTGTATCAAAAAACAATAATTATTAAATAATATAATTTTGTAGTTTCTAGATCTGCTGATATATAGGTTAATATTGACTTACAAGTTACAATCTAAAGTCACTATAATATTTGGTCAGAAATGTATTCCAACTTAATAATTTATTAGGAATATATAAATGTTTCTCTCTAATGGTAAACATATATTAAAAATAAAAATAAATTATTAATCCCTTTTTGGTTTTAGTTACCAGAATTGTTGATGACAAACAGGCATTCATTTATTAAATTGATTTTGATTTAAAAATTTAAGTTATAATGTGTTATACATTTTAACTTTAAAAATTTTCAATACTGATAAGAATGGCTGATGTTGGTATATAAAATACAATTTACAAAAATAAAATAAAAGATTGCCTAAAATAACAATAAACAATATTATAGGACAATAAAAGGATTTAGTTTTTAATTTGATTTTGGTAAATAACATTTGTGAAAATAGTAAATACAATACTTAAAGACTATTGAAGCATTTACCAAAAAAAAAAAATACTTATATAATATATTTTACACAATCATTTTTTACGTTAGATATGCATACATTTATAATATGTGACATCAATATAAATGTACTTAATACAATTCGATTAACAATTTCTTATAATATATTTATCTTTAGTTGAGAAAGTTAATAATAATTATACAAATTAAATATAAATTTTAAAACAATTAAGGTATATATAAATACATATATATACATATATATATATATATGAGTGGGCAAATGTGAATTTGTGTACGATCCAATAGATATAAATTAAACTGATAACAAATAATACCTACTAATAAAGAATGTTACGAAACTTATTATAATAATATAAGACAGAAAAAATAGCACATATAATAAAATAATATAGAATTAAAAGATTCCATCCTACAATATTTTGCTGAAAATAAAGAATACAAAATAAAAATAATAATAAACCAACATTATTTATAAACAACTATTTACCTTAACATTGCATACAAGATTTATCTTTTTCCACATTTGGATTGGTTTCACATTGAAGGATTTTCTGTTGTACCCCAGAATCAGCAGCATTCAAGTCTAGTCTGTAATTTATAAAATAACAATTTTAATTATGAGTGGCAATGGATGTAATGGTTTTTTTTAAAATTAATTTCTGGTTTGTGTACACTTTTTATAAAAGTAAAGAAAATGATTAAAGTTCCACTTTGACAGTTGTTATTATTTCTATTTTCAAAAATCTATTCCAGTTGATAACGGGAATGTTTTTACAGCATTTAAAAAAATATGGAAAACACAATAATAATTTATAAATTAAAAACATTTCTTCAAATTGAATATTTAAACTAAAAACACCCAACAGTTTTAATTAATTTGTGTTACTTAACTAAAAAAATGTTTGTACGGACTTCAAACTTGATACCAATACTTATATTATTCTTTAGTATACATAAGGAATTTTTCAAAGTAGTTATTTGTTAGTTAATTATATCATACAAATATTTAAACCATACTACAATACTACATTAGTATTGATAGTTAGTAACATTATATGAAAAATATAATAATAATTGAGATTTGTTTTTGGTAAAAGCAAGTTTAACTTAGCATACTAATAATTGAAAAATAATTACTCAAACATTTTAAATAGCCTTAGCAGTGCAGATAGAAATGAACCCATGGAAACAAAGTGACTTATTATCATAATTTATAATGTTAAATACATTTAAATGTTTGTTTCCTTTAACTCATTGAACATTTCTTTAAGTTGCTGCTAGTCGTAACTGTTTAAGTGTTTAATTTAATTTAAACAGCAATACTATGCTTAACAGAAGCTGCGTATAGAGTTAAAACTTGGGAAGCTTTATTAGAAACACTGATTGATATTTGGCAAACAATACAAAAACCAGGTCATTATTAGAATCTCTACTGTTTTCTAACAAATTCAAAAATTGTATTGCCATGCCCGTCACTTTTCAAAAACCAATCATAGCAAATAGACATTGGCTCATCGTAAAATATTAAGTAAAAATTACTAGTAAAAACTTAGAACTATAAAATGGCTACAAAATAAGATATTATACTATACATCTATATACTATTTCATGTTAACAATTTTGTTGCTGCAAAAAAGTATTTACCGGATTAATAAGGTGTAAACACTTTCATCCACTCCCCATAGATAAATGGATTGAAAACATTAGAACAGTTACTAAACCAAACGCCACAAGATTCAACCAACTGGTAAGCCAAGGAAATAGTATATACTTAATCTACTAAATTCTAATTCTAAATTTAGAAACTTATTAAAAAAATCTCAAAAAAGTGAGAAAAGATACCATAATTCTATCCTGCAACGGAAGAATGCCGCAAATAAAAAAAAATTAAATATGAGATACTTTCCGGCGTATAATATACTAGCTTTAAACGGTTTTTATGAGTAAAAATGCTATAACTAAGATTAATTGACAAGATTTTCGTACTTAAGAAAAAATTGGAACGCCATAATTGGAATAATACATAAACGATGCTTAGCAAAAACGCTGTAACCTCAATTCGCTAAGAAAGATTGCAGTAAGTTTTATTTCAAATATAGAGTTTTACTTAGCACTTAATCATGATATGTATTTACGGTGTTGTTGTTTAAGAAACTGGTAGTGATTAAGCCGTATCTTATAATGTATTTTTAAGTTACTGATAATGTTTGGAATTTTGTTGTAGTATTGTTACACTTCAAACACATTTCATTCAGTTTTCTATAATACTTTGTCGTAAATACCAGCTATAGGTATAATGTTTTAATATAATTTTCTTAGTGATATATTTATTTGAATTTGAAAAGAAAAACGCAATCAATGGCACTTTTGCTAAGTATACAATTGTAAATAATTAATAGTTTATCTTATACAAATATCAAAAGCTGAATATCTTGTACAACATACCTTCCATCTTGAATGCATTCATAAATTATCTGAGCAGTTTTAAGGAAAGCATCTTCAACATACTCTCCGCTAAACATTAAATAATAATTTATCAATCATTAAACAAAAAATAATACAAAATAGTTTTATTATTTAAAATATATAATTACGTTTTGGCACTTGCTTCCAAAAACATTAATCCATTTTCATCAGCAAATTGCTTGGCTTCTTCGTAGGACACATCTCGATTACTTTCCATATCCAACTTGTTCCCAATTAAATAAATCACCTTTACAATCAAATACAATATAATAAAATTACTCTACGTAAAATACTTTATAAGTAAAATTGTATTCAAAAATAAATAGTTACACACACACACTCACACACAATAAGTTCACAGAGTAGATGTTAGTATCATTACTGTCTATTAATACTTAATTATGCAAATTAAACAATTATAAACATACAAATAATTTAGACTATTTAGGACTTTATAACACTTAACAAAGATTTTTTTATTTAAAACTTAATTAAAATTAAGCATTATTTTTATAATGCTCAATTTGCAGTTTATAGTATAATTGAAATAGAATAGTTGGTGAAATAATATTTTAAAAGTTATTCAAACTGTGCGTCACGGCTCCCAGGGGATTAGTATAATTGAAAACCAATGAATACTTTTACGATAAACGTTTGCAATTATCATTGAAGCACTACCATTGGGAAACGTTGAATTGTCTACAACAATCATTCGCTAAATACAACTTTAATTTTTTTTATATATGTAATATGGTAAATAAATAATAAGTATAAATTATAAAATATATATTACATTCATATAAACATTGATTTTTTTGTAATTTATAATTTTTGAGCCGTCAACATTTTGAGAAGATCATAAGGAGCCGTGGGACGAAAAAGTTTGAATACCTCTGGTATAATAGATTATCAAGTATAAAATACTGCATGTACAAAATTAAATATACTCTATTCCAAAAAGTTTGGAAAAAAATTAGGGATGGGCTGATACCACTATTTATCTGATACTTTGATTTATGCTACCAAAAAAAACCGATAACTGATATATATATTAAAAACAACATTTTCTTCATGAACTATGAACCAACATTAAGAGATTACCAATACTACCTACCAATATCAGCTATAGTCAGGAATAAATAGAATAAATGTTTATTCTATACATCTGTGGCTATAGAACTGCCAACAGCCATAAAAAATCTAAAAATTTGTTATAATTATTAATAAATTGTGCTAATTGATTTGGTTTTTTTTTTGTTATCCAATATCAGTTTTAAACAAAAAACCAACACAGATAAATCTGAAACCACCAATATCAAATAACGATTCTAGTATCAGCCCACCCCTAAAAAAAACTATCATGGAAACATGCCACGGCTCGCGCATATACAGTCTTGTTGGCTAGAATACTGGACAATCACAAAAGTCCTACCGTACCAAGGTTGCATAGTTTTTCAAACTTATTTGAAATAGAGTCAATCATATAATAACAATTTAACCCCAAATAAATTTTTTTATTTAGTTATAATTCAAAATATGTCAATTGTAGTAACTTAAAACATTGTACTATTATTTAAATAAGAAATAATTTACCATACACAATGAAATTTTCAAAATATTTAGACTTATTTTCAGCTATTATTTGCATTTCAAATTATTTTGGTACAATATTTTTTTTTTAATCAGAAACCTGACAATATAATACAAGAATCTTCAAAATTGTTTTAATCAACATTTAAGAAAATCAAAAATTAATATTCAAAATTTTTTATTTTAATAAAATTCAATAATTTTTTAAATGAAAAATAACATTTTTTCTTCCAACGGTTTTAGTTATATTTTTGTAATTCACAAATATATATGGTAGGGAATAGAAACTTTTCACCATAATGTATATACTATTTTATATACACAATATTCAGATTTAAAGCATGATCCAAATCGGACCGTGCCGATATTGACTAAGAGGTTAATGACAATGATACAAGATAATATTACTATGGAATTTTGCAGGTTTTAGCAAAAATAAGTTCAAAACACATTATTACAAATTGAAAATAAATGAACTATAGTAAAGTATCCAAAGAATAGGCTGACATACATTTTTGCTTTGTTTTGATTTATATAAATAAAATGTAATGATTTCTATCTGTATTCAAATATAATACACCCATTTTTATCGATGGGATGCACTCAAAATCTATTATACAGCATAGCGACTTCTATGGTTTTCTTATTTATATCCCCTCATCAGACCAAGTAAAATTAAAGTAGATAATTAATTTACAAATAGTAATGCACTATTTTTTATTTACAACTAACCCATCAACATTTCGTCATATCAGACAATATTATTTTATGTTACTTATTTATTCCAATTAAAATATAGATTAGTGTTTGAAATGTATGTAGGAGTACTTAATTTCAAAAAAAAAATGTATTAACTGGGTACCTCATTTCTTAATAATGAATTCTTCTTATTTATAATTTAATAATTTATTCCTTATACTGTGAGTTTTCCAAGATCCAATTTTATTTTATTTTAGTTGTGACGCTTGGCGTTGCTTGTACAGTTGTACCATTACTATTATACGTACTATTATTATAATATGTAACCAATGGAAACTAATTATACAAAAATTGCAAACCTTTTAGTTTTTTCTGGACTTTCCAATACAATTAACTTATAAGACGTTGGTAGAATCAACAGTTAGATATTTGTGATATGTATGTAAATATAAGGGTAGAGCATTTCAAATACATTTTAGCATAGCTGCATACTGAATAAAATTGCGAATAGTCACAAAAACATATATGAAACATGAATAATTTCTAACAGATACTACCTTGGACTGCTACGTGTTGGTTTAATTTTAAAAAGCCCTAGTTAGATCAATAGCATTGTATACATACAAGACTTGGAAAACCACTAAAACGGATAAAAACAAATTGGGTGTTCTCAAAAAGAAATGCTGGGAAATCGTTGAGCGAAAAAAGCATTGACAATTTAAGACAAATCTTAAATTAGGTCAAATGTATAACTGAGAAGTTTTTATGGAGAAGCTAGTATAATAGAAATTACAATAACAAAGTGGAGACCGATTCAAAACAACCCCAAAAACATTGGCGATTAAAGGAAGATTTCAGGATGTTTTTGGTGGAGAACATAGAAAAAATGGAGAAATATTGTTGATATAGCAATGGGCCTTAAATGTCTGTAAGATACAAGGAAATGTAAATAAACAATAAACTAATTCTTATCATTCTTCTCAGTTTATCAGTATCCTCAATTAGTTTGTTCAAATATGTGAAACTGACAAAATACTCTTTGAGATAATATTTGTTACATAGGTATGACTTAGATTTTTCCTGACAAATAATATCGACCTAATTTTAAAAAAATTATAAAAATATGAATTATATATAAACACAACTTACTAAAGTTAGTAATTAAGATGTCTAAGGCGCCTGGCATTTAACCAGATATTCTCAAATAACTATAGAATGTCTCAGGCAATTCAAACGAATCCCTCTCATTGTATATGAATACTTGTATGTAAACTGGACATTTGATACAGTATCAGTAGAAGCTGAGGTATAAGCACAGAAAAACCTAGCTAATAAATTTTGTTATTGCATTATTGCCTTTCACATAGACCTATTTTCAACAAATAAAGTGTTAATTTGAAAAGCAATTTAATGAAAATTATTTTCAATTTTACCTGATAGGTAGTATTTTATTTAATACCCTTATTAACTGTGGTGGTTTTTAAATTCCTACCTTCAAAATGTCCTGAAATAGTGTCACCGAGTTATTTTATATTTAAATAATTATGATAAAAGAAAAAGATCTGCAATTATATACTACTGGGTATGTATAAATATAAAAAATAGAGTCCCAATTAAGTTAATTAAGTTCCATTAATATTTATTTGGTAGAAACATCTAGGCGGTTAAAAAACTTAATTGATTTGTGAATACTTACAGTTCCCGGATTTGTAAGATTGCGTGTATCAGATAACCAACTACTCAAATGATTATAAGAAGAACGTCTCGTTATGTCATATACCATCAATGCTCCAGCTGCTCCACGATAGTACGATCTAAACAACAATGACATTGTTATTATAGTACAAAGGTATATATTTTGTCTAAAAGTTTGAACCTTGTAACTGCTCGGAAACGTTCTTGTCCTGCTGTGTCCCAGATTTGAAGTTTAATTTTTTTCCCCGATACTTCAATGATTCTTGTTCCAAATTCTACACCAATCGTGTGTGGGCAATCAGCAGTAACTGAACATGAAAAAAAAAAATAGTAAAGATGAATACCTAAGTACCTCAACAAATGTTTGGAAGTGGATATTTGCTGTGAAATTGGCTCTTACACTTTTGCTCGGTGAATTGGTGCAGTAAACACGATTTACCGACACCCATGTCACCGACTATGATATACTTGAATATATATGAGTACTGTGAAGAAGCCATCTTAGACTCAGACGCTTTGGAACTCTGCAACAGAACAACAAACCGATCAAACATACAAACGATGGAGGGGAGTGGCAACTAAGCGTACACGAAAAAAATGAGAGGCTTTTGGCATCGAAGGCGTTGGTGTAAGGGGGGGGGGGGATGAACAGTGGCGACGTTTAGATAATCACTTACATTTACGCGGCTGAATGGGATGTGAACAGTGACGGAGACGCGTTTTCTGTATATCCAGATGGATACGACGCCACTACGGGAAAGTCGCTTAGAGGAGGCGGCGTAGGGCGGGCTGGTGAGCGAGTTATGGAGCTAGTAGGAAGTGAACAAAGACGACAGAGCGGATATTTTGTTTGTTAATGTGTAACAAGTTGATCGGGCGACGGAGGCGAATAAAATGTGGCATATGCTACCCACCGTTTGTTCTTGGCGTAGATATCGGAACAAACAAGTACTACACGGCCGTTTGGATGAGACAATGCGTCTTACTGTAACAGTTAAATTGAAAAATATTTTTATGTTTCATACGATGCGCGCGGGAGCGCAAACGAGAACACACAAACGCACACACTCACACGGACGTGTGCGAGAAACAAAGATAAAAAACCAACATTATTATTATTAGTCGGCGGCGGCAATAGATCTCTGTAACAGAAGTGAATTTTTTTCGTGTCGGCACTCGGAAAATAATAATTATTAATATTGTTATGAGGTCAATGATTGTGATTGTTGGTCTCGTATGGATCGTAAATAAATTATTAATCTGTAGTGAGTAAATACGCAGCTAAAGTCGTAGGTAGTACCTACGGTATCCGTACTTTTATACTATTATATCGATTGCTGTTGTCGTCGGCCACGCACTACTATTTCACCTATCCTCGGTTCGATGATATTGAATAGTTTGATGTTTATATCTTGTGATATTATATTATACTGTGAAACAATACGTACGGCTGGAACGACGCAGCAGCACTGCAGTTGCGAATATCGGAATCGGGAATACTTGATAAGGACGGCGGCGTAGGTACGTCGTACGATCTGGATGGCGACCGCGTCGAATGATCGACTGATGACGCGACGGCGGCCGCCCGCCACCTCTCCATCCTCACGGCCCCGCCCGTAACTGTACTCGCCGGACGTGATCGCAGCCGCGGCGTCGGTCGTTCGTTATCTTATCCGCTCGTTGCTCGTAATTATTTTATTGATATTATTATTATTACTATTATTGTTGTTGTTATTATTATTATTATTATTATTATTATTATTATTACTGTGATTAAAACAATGTTATTGATTTGTATTGCGTAGGTTGTGCGATAGGAACAATAATCAAATACTTACAATAACATAATGTACGTCTGCAGTATTATACAGGAATGTTCACGATTGTTCCAAGTCATTAATGGTAGTCACTGGATACTGGTCAGTGATTAGTGAATAGTGGTTACCCAAATATTTGTACACCGAACAGGACTGTAAGTCACTGAGCCCTAGCTCACCAGACGATCTGCTACTATAACAGACGACGCCATGACATGTCTCATACACATAAACATAATTTATCCGAGTAAAAAATGTCATTGCCAGTCGGCGGAGTTTGGATAAAGTTTTCCTCTGGTGGTTCTGGGACCGATACTCAGTTGTTCACCCTTCACTTAAAAAATTGTAGTCCTGTACTCCTGTTCATATATTATCAAAATAGGCAATATTACTTAATATTAAATTGCCAATATAATTAAATTTAAAATAAAACAGTATGTCCATATTATAGGATGCATTTAAAATCATAAAAATGCATTTTTTAAATTTGAAAAATGTTTCATAATTTTGCTGAAAATAGGTACCTATATACCTATATACCTATACCTATACCTTTGTTAAAAATGAAAAATTACAAATAGTTTTCTGAACTTTGGGAAACACTACAATAGACTGTTATACAACACAAATTAAAAATACTGAAATTCACGATGTTGCCATCAAATTTGATAACAAATACATGTGTATAGTGTATATATTGGAAAATCTAGGTTAACCGTCTTAACCTAATTAAAAAATCTAGGTAATAAAAAGAAAAAAGTTTCAAAATGATATGGTATGTGATATTACCTATATTATAATACACAGATAATCAGATTGCAACTATTTGGGTACCAAAAAATAATATACATTTGATAAAAATTCACAGCTTTAATTATGAAATTGGCACGACGTGCAAAACTTTATAATTAGTAATTACCTACTGGCTACTACTCAACTGCTGTTTGCCTGTTGGCTGTTTATAAACAATTAATTGAATCATTAAGGTAAAATACTAAAATGAAGGTATCAAAAAAAAAAAAAATAAATATATACTTTTAAAATTATACAGCAATATTTAAACTCTTCACGTCATATTAGAATAAATTTTAATTAAAAATAATGACTCAGTGAATCTATAAAAAATGTTCACAGTAATATTTAAGTTTCAGTATTAAAATGTATTAAAAATTTAAAAGTAATTTGTAAAATAATATTATGTAAAAATTGTTATCAATGGTTTTTATACTAAACTAAATTAAAGTATGAACGATTAGTTGATATTATTTACGTTCACGTGCCCCCATGACAGTATGGCACCTCATAATCAGTGATTGCATCTACATTTCTACGTGTTTTACGTCATCGGTATTTTGTATAATCGTGTGTTTTTTTAAGTGGACTTGATGCCCACATATTAAGTTGTCTCGGTCTTATAGCCACGCACTTCGGTTTTATTTATCCTTGAATAGTGTTCGTTGTGTTCAAACAATGTACACTGATAGTGGGTAGTGTATGCCGTGTAGGGTTTAAAATGGAAATGAGTACCTCCAACGGTATAAAAAGTAAAAACCGAGTAGTTTGGTTTTTGTTAACTGATCGGTGTTCAAAATAGGTAAAATATAAGATGTGTGTCCAATTTGAGTGTTTTAACAATATAAACGAACAATGATTGATTATATATAACAAAGTGTATTTTTTTGATTTTAAGAGGAGCGATAAATTCAGGTATTGATTTAAAAAATTTTTTTTATTATTAGTTTTTTTTTAATTATTGCCTACAAAAAATGTTTTCCTCGGTCGAAAAATTTGAAAATATAATACAACCTTCCTCATAAGTTTTTATTAGTTTATATTTTCAAAAAAAACTTGACGTAAATATACATTAATTTTTTATGAGCGTCGGAAGTTAAAATGTTGACAAAATTCATCGAAATCACGAAAATTGGCAAATTATTTCGAGTAAGAAATTCATACAAATGTTTCTATTTATATCTTATAGCTTTAGAAATTGAATGCAAGATTTCCCTTGAATATTCCTAGGTATATATTTAAACAACAAAAAAAGTAAAATAAATTTTTATGAGAGTTTGAAGTTATAGGAATTGGAAAATTGGATATTCATCCATTAACGAATTCTCACATATCGATTTTCTTATTTCGTTGTTGTTTAAAAACTAATAATCTTATAGGTACTTAAAATTTTCATCAAATATTCACACTATCATTTTCTATACAATGTGGTATATTTTTTAAAATATTTCGATTCTTTTTGAGTTATTTATAGTCATTTTCAATTTTCTTTTTTTAAAGTTTTTTTTCTATAAATGTTAATAAAAAAATTTTTAATTAAAAAATTTAATCATCCGACCCGATTTCGTCGGGTTGAAATGCTTGAAAATTTAATTCAAGGTTTCTCATAAGTTGGGTTCAGATGTTGTAGGAATTGCATATTATTCTATATGTTCCAGAGCTGTATTTAGGCCTTAAGGGGGGCCATGTGGTGTTGTTGCCCCCCTCTCAGGTGGCTGATTATGAGGGTTGGAAAATTTCAAGTTTTGAAAGTGTACGTATTCAATTTTTATTCGGTACAATAATGTGTTATCAAAGGGCTGAAAAGTGAAAATTCTCAAATACGGAATCCTGATATGCTCTCCATTGATTTATATAGCATACCAAGCTAACAATCATAGTTATACTTCAATGGTGAGTTTAAAAATCGGAAACATAAAATGCATATTTGGCATGTTTCATCAATTTTGTTGGAAAAGTGCATATTTCTAGATTTTCATATACATATTATCCATATATTTTAATGTTTTCTAAAAAAATTTGTCAACATATTATAATTAATTGTAACCTATTATGCCTGTACGACCTTATTCACTTTAATCGTAAGTCGATTGAATTATAAGTTATAAGTCATGACTTATAATCATAGTTAATACTGAATAATAATAAATAATAATATAGTGTTATAGTATAAAGTAATTAAAGTCTGTAATTAATAATTCAATATAATCGATTTTTGAGTTGTTTTGAGCAGGTATTTTGGGTAAATTTGTTTGATCAATAAAATACAAATTGAAATAAATGTAATATAAAATATCCTATAGGTTCACAGACCGAATTTGTTCAAAATCGTTTTTCATATACAATTATATAATATATCATTGAATTGAAAACAAATTCATACTGTTGTAATATGAATTATCAATGTTCTCGTATAACATCATACTGCAATAAAATAGATATTACAATAATTAAAAACCTATATCGAAAACGGGGACATCGCAATTTACAATTAGCTCATGTAAATAGTGTGTCAACATTATGATAACAGATAGATTTAGCACGATTGTCAAATCGATACACTACTTGTAGGTATGCTAAAAACACACAGGAGGGCTATCGCTTGGACGTGTCACGTGTGTTACCCGTTTCTGCCACAGCATTTTTCACAGGTAAATGTTTATAGAAATGTAACATGTTTACATGTATACAGCTATTATAATGGTAATCACCGACATTTGTAAATAATTTCGAAGACCATAGGTACAAGTCATACAACAATTTATACGACGATAATCATATAAAGTATGGTAGATACTTATATAGATACCCATACCTTAACGTGGAAGATTATATCGATAGAAATTCGAAATTTCGAGCATTTCAGTACGTGTGCTGCAAGTGAAATACAGCAACATTAAAAAGAACAACAAATAATTGTGAATGTTTTCATTTGTATTTCAATTTACAATTTTATAAGGCACTCATCAATTTTAACCTTTGTAAAAATATTAAAAGACAATCCAGATAGATACTTACCTAAAAATTAACAGTTCTAGTAATAATACCTATTATAAAAAATATTCCAAAAATAAAAAAAAAAAATTAAACCAGTTAAAAACTACTGAAGATCGAAGATGCTATCATAAAAAAAGATTCCAATAAAATTAGTAAATATAGTATCTACAATTTTGTCAAAACTGTTTCTTTTAATTATGTTTTTTTTATAAACTTTGTGACATTTTTAAGTATATAAATATAACTGATACCGGTTCAATAATATATGCTATTATATAATGATAAGAGTATTTTTTTTTCTATAAGAACAAAAATCCAAGGCGACTAGCCGTTGGACCAACACTATTGTAAATTAATTTAAATTATTATGCATTAATCAAATAGTTAGTGTGTGGGTTAAATATAATATTAGTTTTTGCTTATTAATTTTGAACTGTATAGACATTCTGTAAATCAGGGAACTAGTTTTTAAACAGAAAAGGGTCATGCTTGCTTGGAGCTAGTTTAGTCCGCGACTGTAGTAAACGGAATCCTAGAAAATACTTTTTGTATGGAGTGGTGTTCCTGTTATGATAATATGTTTATTTATTTATTACTATAAGTTAATACATTTCTTGAATTTAATTGTTATTTTAAATTATAATAATGTGGCGCCCAACCTAACCCACGATCCCGGATTAATAAAAGTCGTACTCTCAGCTCTCATGTAAAAAATATAGTATCCCACTCAACACCTATTTCAGTTCTCAGTAGTGTACAGCAGTGTGGTACCCAACTGACAACCTTTTTTTCTAGTTGTAATATAAACGTACAATATGTAGGAAATTTGCATTCAGCGCAATTCATTTTGTGTTGAATGTTGATAGTTTTTACATTACAGTAATTTATATTATCAAATTTAGAAGTAAGAATGTTATCAATGTACTATCCTCAGAGTTTTTAA